CATCATGATATCTAGGCACTGAGCTAGAATTGTTGCTCTGTAATAATGTTTTATGTTTGGGATGCTCAGGCCCCCCTTTTTTTAGGGCACCAAATGGAATGGAAGTAGATTCTTGGGGGTTTTCTTTTCCAAATGTGGGCGTTTATTGCTGTTTGGAATCTTTTAATAATACTTAGGGAGAATAATAGGTAGTGTTCTAAATAAGTAAAGTATGTTAGGTGAAACCATCATTTTGATAGACTTGACTCTACCTAGCCAGGAAGTGTTTAATTTGTCCCACGATTGCATTTGTCTGGAGATTTTAGTGAGCACTGCGTCGTGATTTTCCTTAATGGTTTGTGTTCTAGAGTGAGTTAGTTTGATGCCTAGGTACGAGATAGATGTCTTGCGCCAATCAAAAGAGTAGCATGCCTTCAGAACATCTATGGTACGAGAGTCCACTTTTAATGGGAAAATCTGAGTTTTGCTGATATTGTTTTTGTAAAATGAAATATTACCGTATGAAGTCAGGGTATCTAACAGATGGGGTATGGAGATGATTGGTTTGGCAAGAAAAAGAATATCGTCAGCGAATAGGGCAAGTTTTTTTTTCTCCTGCTGGAGTTGACAAGCCTGGTAGGAGAGGGTTGTTTTTGATCGTTCTTATAAGTGGTTCTAGGCAGAGGATGAAAATTAGGGGAGAGAGGGCAACCCTGTCTCGTACCGTTGGTTATTTGGAAGCTTCTACATAAAAAACGCATGTGTAAAACTGTTGCGGAGGGTGACGAGTAAAGAGCCATTATACCTATAATAAAGGGTTGTGAGAATCCAAAAGCTTTTAGCGTGGCTTCCATGTAAGACCAGTTAAGGCGGTCAAATGCCTTTTCTGCGTCTAAGGCCATTAGTACCCCACTTTGTCCCTGGCGGTTAGCCCAGTCAATTAAGTCCATACAGTATATAGTGTTATCCCCTACTTGTCTACCGGGTACAAAACCCGTCTGTTCTTCTGAGACTAGATTTGACAGAAAGGGTTTTAACCTGGAGGCAATCAGTTTGGCATATAGTTTTACATCTGCATTTAGTAGCGATATTGGCCTTAGGTTGCCACATAATGTGGGTGGTTTATTCGGTTTTGGTAGTGTGATAATAAAAGCTTCCAGCATTTCGTTCGGGAATCTACCAGCATTTTTCACTGCGTTGAACAGTTTCGTGATATGTGGAATTAATTGTTGTTTCATTTTAATGTAGTAATAATTAGAAAGCCCATCTGGGCCTGGGGCTTTGTGCTTGGGAAGGGACCTGATGGCCTCCGCTACTTCCTCCTCTGTAAACGGGGCATCTAGTAGTTCATTCTGTTGTGCTGTGACTTGAGGGCGTGTGACATGGGCCAGGAAGGTCAAAATTTCTGCTTTATCCAGGATATGAGTGGTCGTGTTGATATCTAGATTGTAAAGGTCTTCATAAAAGAAGGAAAGCTTGTTTACTATGTCATTGGGATTATAGATTTTTGTGTTTGACTTGGAAAGGATATATGGGATTTTTGTTTGGCGGGTACTTGGTTTTCAATTGGTTGGCTAGAAGTTTGCCTGCCTTGTTTCCTACACTGTAGTACTTTTGTTGGAGTTTTAATGCGTTTTTGGTGTACTCTTAGGTGGAAAGTTGTTGGATTTCTGCTCGTGTGTCAGCTATTTGTTTAGTCATGGTATTGGAAGGGGAGAATTTATTGGATGTTTCCAATAATGCTAGCTTTTGATGTAGTGCAGTTTTTTTGTTAAGTTGTTTTTTAATGAACGAGCCTATTTTTTATTAATTCTCCTCTAATTACTGCTTTGTGAGCTAACCATTGGGTTTTTAGCGAAGTTTCGTCTGTGGTGTTGTTGGTAAAGTAGTTTTGTAATTCCATAGCTATTTTTTGCAAATTTGTAGATGAGTCGAGAATGGATTTATTTAACCTCCATTTACCTCGGCCTTTTGCAGGATATGGTACTGCTATTGTGATTACTATTGGGGCATGATTGGACCATGTTCTTTGTCCTATTGTTTGGTTTTGTAGGTGAGGCACTGTTGATTTATCTATCAAACAGAGCTCTATTTGCGTGTAGGTTAGGTGGACAGGGGAAAAATAAGTGTAATCTTTGGCAGTAGGGAATAAATTCCTCCACGTGTCATAGAGATAATGCGAGAAAATGAGATTTGAGAATAGTTTACTATTGTTGATAGCAAGTTAATTGGGTGGTTTATTTATGCTTTGGATGTCTAGTTGAGGGGTCTAGTGTACAATTGCAGTCGCCGCATATTATGACATGCCCTTGTTTCATTTTCTTTATTACTTTGTTAAGGAAAGAAAATTGGGTGTCGTTGGGAGCGTGGGATGCCACGGTCAGTTGGATCCCATTTAATTCTCCCACTAATATCAGCAATCTGCCTGTTTGATCTGTATACTTTTTAGTTAGTGTGAATACCCAGTCTGCATGTAATAGAATGGCTACACCCTTGGATTTGTTGGGTGCATACGCATGGAATGCTGTGGGATATTTTGTTGAGCGTAGTTGGGGTGGGTTTATTTTACAGAGGTGGGTCTCTTGAAGGCATACTATGGCTGCATTGGTAGAATGCATATCTTTCAGCACTTGCCTCCTTTTATAAGGACTATTGAGACCTTTGACGTTAAAAGATAGAAATTTCATTGTGATAGTCATTGTAACCGGTGGGTGTGACTTTGAGGTGTGGTATGCATACTGTGGGGAGTTTGAATGGAATGTAGTGTGCTGTTGGTCCATATAAAAAGATATGTATAGACCTTAATTGGAGTGTTACAGGCATTTTCCCATGAGATGTAATTATAGTATAGTGAGTCTCGATATAGAGGGTAGGTTTCGGTCTTGCTGTTGGTATGCCATATATGTGGTTTCCTGAGAGGGTGGACAAAATATGAGAGGAAAGAAAGAATAGAAATAGAAAAATAAAAGAACAAAAGCAACTATATTTACAAATATCTCCCTTGAAGGGGAGATGTAGTGCGGTCATATTGAGAACACCGCAGTGTCTCAAGAGGTGACCTATGGGGCATAGGAGAGGAGCTCCTAACAACCTGATACATTCATGCTTATGTTGCATTAACTGCATACAAATATAACTAAAACTGTAGAAAGGAATATTCTAAAGTCATTAGATTGTAATACATCCCTGCCAGGTTTGAGAATTAACATGTAACACCTGGTAGTGTTCAAGTCTGGGTTATGTTTGTCCGGTATAAGAGGGGTTAATCGCATTGTTTGTGCGACCGGGAATTAACAACATAAACTATTTACACTTATCTATTGAGGTCATTTATCACCTGCAATGTAGTAGGAGTTTAGCGATATGGAAGGGGTGTCACCTTCTTGTACTCAGACATGCAGTATATTAGATCGAAAGCATTATATGCGCGGTGTCGCGGTCAATGTCTGTTATGCACTTAGTTTGCGTGTAATATGCGACTAGGGATTGTAGATAAAACTGTTATCAAAGCAATATCTATGATCATTGGATCTTTACAACCAATATTACATCTTCAAGTAATGCATATCTGGGCCGTACATTTATGGCTGAGCTAGATAAGATACTGTTGCGAATGTTATTGTTTTATTTAGCATATGTAGGTGTGGGGCAAAGGAATACTGACTCCATCATAAACATAAAGTAGAGGTAAGCCATCAGAGTGTTATATATCCCTTCCAGGTTTTGAATTAGCGAGTAACCCCTGGTAGTGTTCAAGTCTAGGTGATATTTGTTCGGTATGAAAGGAGTTAATCGCATTGTCTGTGTGATCGGGGATATATAACATATAACTATTTACACTTGCCAGTTGAGGTCAATTATCCCCTGCAATGTGGTAGGAGTTTAGCGATTGGAAAGGGGTGTAATTTACTTGTACTCAGACATGCAGTATATAAGATCCAAAGCATTATATGCGTATTGTTGCAATCAATGCCTGAATTGCACTTAGTTTGCGCGTAGCATGCAACTAGGGATTTTTGGAATACGGTTATCAGAATAATAACTATGAACTTCGGACCAATATATCAGTTGCAAGTAAAGCATATCTGGGCCATACATTTATGGCTAATCTATATAAAATACTGTTGCGAACGTTATCGTACTATTTAGCAAATGTGGAGGTAAGACAAAGGAATATCGACCCCATTATAAACATAAAAGTAGAGATAAGACTTGACAGATATTATTTCATTCACAGTTACTAAGGAGTATACCATTGTACCCATCCTGATATGAGTGCTGGTTGTGTAAGTAGAGTTAATTTTTTCTTGTGCGGTGAACCCGCCATACTCCATTCCATTTGAAGCCGTCTCAGGGAGGTGTCTGCCGCAGCTAGATCTTCCTGGACTTTATTCCAAAGTCCCCATGCAGTAAGTAGTTTCATTCCCTCAGCCGGCTCGTTGATTACTTGAGTTTTTCCTTGACGCCAGACTAGTATTTTCGTTGGGTAACCCCACTTGTAGTATATGTTGTTATTGCGTAGAGTTTTGGTAATAGTGATTAATTCCTTTCTTCTTGCCATTGTGGTGGCAGATAGGTCCGCAAATAGGGATATTTGTTGGTGGGGGTCTGGAAGTGTGCCCGCTTTTCTTGCTGTAGTTAGTAAGGAATCTTTGTGGGCATAGTAGTGGAATTTGACAATAACATCTTTGGGGACGTCACTCGCCAATCGAGCCGGGCGTGGGAGTCTGTGCATTCGGTCAAAGGCCTAAGCTGAGTCAGGCAGACCCGGGATCAGGGATTTGCAGACGGATAAAATGTATGCTAATAAGGCATCGTGGGAGACGTCATCTGGTATGCCTCTGAAGCAGACATTTTGCCTCCAGATCTATTTTCTAGATCTGCAAATTTTAATTTTAGTGTAGCATTTTCTTCTGAGATTTTTAGTAGTTTGTCTACTACTTCGTTATGGGCCACACATAATTCCTCTGACCTGTTTTCCAAGTGGCTAGTTCGCTCACCTAAGGTAGAGATCTCTTTTCTCAGGTTGCTGTCAATGCGGTGGAAGTCAGCTCTGATTGTAGTTCGAAGTTCTTGCAGCATCTTGTGGAGACTGCGCTCTGTGATTGCTGTATCAGTGTATTTAGAGGAAGTGGAATCATTGTGTTTGCCATGTCGTCGCCATCTTGGCTTTCTTTTCTGCGATCTTTTTTCTGGAGTTCCGCCGCTTCCGATAATTTTAATTGTTTTGGGAGCGGCATGATAGTAATAAGCCTCCTGGAATATGTGCAGGATTGTGAAATTGCAGTTAGATTGCTTGATTTGTCGCTTACCAGGTTGAGTTCACGGCGGAGCTCTTAAGCCATGCGACTGCTCTCGCCGGAAGTTGGTTGCGTCCCCCCAAGAATGGATTTTTATTTTTTTTTATCTGGGCTCGGCGTTGAAGCTTCCAAGCCTGGATTTTCAGCCATCCGTGGTCGTTAGGTCCGGATGAAATTTAGGACAAATTCAGGCATGTTTGGCATGAATTACAAAATCCAGCATGGTGTGATTTAATTCGACTCAATTCTATTCAGGATTTAGTGAATAACCCTGCTAGTCACACATTATCACATGGATATCATGCTGCACCTATATTACTATTTTTACTAAACTAGAAATTGTGTGCATTGACAAGGGAATTGCAATACTTAGGCCAAAAAATCCACGCTGAAAAGCTGTGTAAAATAATATTTTCAATTTGGATATTTCGGACTATCTTTATCTATTCTCTTGTACATTTTGCACAATTAACTTTACTTTAGCAGAGAGAGCCTGTAAAATAAGAAGTGATGAGTTGTTGGTAACTGTAAAAAAGTTCTCACTGGCATTACACCCTAATGCTTTGCCACTGGAGAGTATTTCAATCTAATAAGAAAATGGCAATGTAATGGCTAATGTAAATTTAATTATGTGTCTTTTTTTTCTTACAATCTTGTTTTACTACACTAATGAACATATTTGTTATAGCTATTTAAAAAGGCATGGAATAAACATGAATTATTTTAAACCAATATGTTCAACACTAATAAATGCCTTCTAGCAAGCTAATCATTGAATCTACACATGATTAGACAAACTCTGTTCAGTGAATTAATTAACATAGTTGTTATAGCTATCTAATAATGTATTATGGTAATATAAACTGCATTAATCAGATAAATATGTCATTCAATCCAATTCTAACTAATGAATACAGGTTTAAGCAGCTCTTTTACACAAAAAAATTAGAATGGACATATTTACCTAATTGTTAGTAGTGGTCTGCTGACAGGTGGCAACATCAAGGCCAAACTAGTAAAGCTAGCAAAATATCAATTCAGGTGATGTAACTAATTTTTTAGTGGCTATTGCAACATTGTAATAAAAAGTAATCTTTGGCCGAACTCACTATTCAGTGAATACATTACTGTTTATTGAAACCAATAATATATTTTGTTCTCGTTTATTTAAGAATAACAAACATGAACTGTAACAAATTCCATAAATTTTCCCCTCAAGTGGAATGGAGGTAATTTCCTACCAGATATACGTAGTGATAACTTCATCAAGGTAGAGTATTAGAGTTGAGCAGACACCTGGATGTTCGGGTCTGGCGGGTTCGGCCGAACTTTGAAAAAAAGTCCAGGTTCGGGCTCGAACTTGACCCCGAACTTGAACCTGAACTCAAACCCCATTGAAGTCAATGGGGACCCGAACCTTTTGGACACAAAAATGCCTCTAAAAGAACTCCTGGAAAGAGCTAGAGAGCTGCAAAAGCATGTAAAATGGGGGTAAGACTAGGGAAAGTGTCCTGCAAACAAATGTGGATAGGGAAATCACATAAAAATTAAAAATACAGCTGAGCCATAACATAGCACTAGATGGAATCTTTGATTTTAGCTTTGGAAGAACATAAATCAAAAGCTAAAGCATGGCTATCAGGAGGATCAACAGAATTATCTATTTGAGATAGGGTTGTTGTGCAGGGTATTCTCTTTCATTGTTCAAACTGAGCTCAACTCCTGATGCATTGAGAAAAGGCCTTTACATTTGCCTTCTCCCCCTCTCCTTTCTGGGGTAATAGGGAACACTCATAAAGCAGGAGCACACTGCTTAAATGGCCACACCTTAGAGACCACATTCCCTATTTAACTCAGTTTGGCAAACAGAACCATACCTCATCATTGTACTAGTTGCACAATCAGTCTAAAAGCCTATAGCAACACTGGACCCACCCGCTATAAGATCTTACCTCCAGGCACACTAGGTTTCTGAAAAAGCGCTAACTCCCACTATCCAAAATTATATTCCCTCAGCTCATGGTACAAGACCACTATATGCTAGGCTCCCTGTCCATTATGCTTTACCAAATGTGATTAATGATATGTACAGGGCCAGTGCAAGGATTTTTGCCACACTAGGCAAAAAAAAAAATTGCCGCCCCCCCATATGTCCTGCCCACCATGTGACATCACAATGCCCCGTCCATATGCTCTGCCATATGGGCCAACGCCAGTCTTCTTTTATCTGAAAAGACAGAGTGTTTACATTAAAGAGCATACAGGCACAGGCTATAGATACCAGAACCACTACATTCATATGTAGTGCTTCTGGTGACTATAGTATACATTTAATGTGAGGTAAATTAGAGATTAGTGCCACTAATAATATATTGGATTGCCTACTTACCACCAGATGAGGACAAGAGGCTGATGATGGGCTCAGTCTGGCTCCAAAGGTCTGGTGTAGAACAGGAATCAGCGCCATTTTTTGGGGCCCCTTACACAGCTCATGGTCTGGGCCCCCAGGGCTTGACCGTGAGTATGCCTACAATGCCCACCCATAAATCCACCTACATGGCCCACCCATGAGTTCTCTCACAGGTAGTGGAGTGTATGTGTGTAGGGGATGTTTTATGTGTTATTGTAGAGGATGCAATGTGTGTGTGTTCTTATAGAATGTAGTGTATAGGGATACCAATTTGTGTAAGGGATGTAGTCTGTGTATAGTGGATGCAGTGTGTGTTTGCATGTAAGGAATGCATTGTTTGTTTCTGGTTGTGTGTGTGTGTAAGGGATGCAAGGTGTGTTTCTGTGTATGTAATTGAATTCAGTGTGTGTCTGTAAGTGGTGCATTGAGTGTGTAAGGGATGCATTTTGTTTCTGTGTGTAAGAGAATGAGTGTTTGTGTGAGCGTAAGGGATGCATTGTGTATTTCAGGTGTGTCTGTGTGTGAGTAAGGATGCATTGTATGTTTCTGTGTGTGGGGATGAATTGTGTATGTGTGTAGTGTAAAAGAGAGGGTTTGTGGGGTAGGATAGGGACTGAGAGGGGAGAAGCTCTTTATTTTGTTAAAAAAATGTCATAGTGTCAATTAGTGTTCTCCCTTTCTGTCCCTTAGTGCTCTCCCTTGGCCCCCTGTCCCTCTGCAGTCCCCCCTTGGTGGTTTTCTCACTCCCCCCTCTCCCTCTTAATGGTCCTCCCTCCCTGCCTCCCCTTTGGTGGTCCTTCCCCTCTTCCCCTCCCTTAGTGGTCCTCCCTCTGGCAAACCCCTAGTGGACCTTCCCCCCTCCTCCCTCATTGATCCTTACTCCCCCCCTCCTGCCCCAGTGGTCCTTACTCCTCCCCCAGTGGTCCTTAGTGTCCCCCCTCCTCCCAAGTGGTCCTTAGTGCCCCCTCCTCCCCAGTGATCCTAGTGTCCCCTCCCTCCCCCAGTGATCCTTAGTGTCCCTCCCCCTCCCCCAGTGGTCCTTAGTCCCCCTCCCCCCAGTGGTCCTAGTCCCCCTCCTCATCTCCCCGAGTGGTCCTTAGTCCCCCCAGTGGTCCTTAGTTCCCCATCCTTCTCCTTCCCCAGTGGTCCTTAGTCCCCTCCCTCCTTCCCCAGTGGTCCTTAGTCCTCCCTCCCTCCTCCCAGTGGTCCTTAGTGTCCCCTTCCTCCTCCCCCCAGTGGCCCTTACTCCCCAGTGGTCCTTAGTCCCCCCTCCTCCTTCCCCAGTGGTCCTAGTCCTCCCTCCCTCCCCAGTGGTCCTTAGTCCCTCCTCCTCCCTCCTCCCTCCCCAGTGGTCCTTAGTGTCCCCCTTCTCCCCCAGTGGTCCTTAGTGTCCCCCTTCTCCCCCAGTGGTCCTTAGTCCCCCCTCCCTCGGTGGTCCTTAGTTTCCCCTCCCTCCTCTTCCTCTTCCCTCCTGTCTATGTAGCATGGCCGGGCAGCGCGGAACGCGGGACAGGAACCTGTTTCCTGTACCCGGCCGCCGGGTACAGGAAACAGAGGTTCCTGTCAGTCCGCCGGCGGCCGGGTACAGGAAACAGAGGTTCCTGTCCCGCGTTCCACGCCGCCTGGCCACGCTACAGTGAGAGACCGCTCTGCGCTTCCCTCCTGCAGGTCACTCAAATCCGGCCGCCCTCCATACAGCAGTGCTGCGCCGCCTGAGGCTTGCTAAAGTGCTCAGGTGGCGCAGCATGTTGGAGCCCCATGGGTGATTCCTGGTGCAGGGATCCGGCGCCCCTGCTAAGTTGCGCCCTAGGCAGCGCCGGCCCTGGATATGCATAAGCTGTTTCTCTTCTGTAACATATTTTTTTTTTTACTGAGACAATGACCTGAGTCAAAAATAAAGAATATAAAAAAAGGACACACTTATATTATATATACTACTTCTATAAATATAGACAAATTGCATACAGTCCCAAGAACACCAGAGGGCTGAATGTTACTATTGGTGATCAAGAATTCAATATATGTTTATTTATTTTTGTCTTTCTTTTTCTTTTCTCTTCCCAAAGACAATATAAAGTACCATCTCAATGCTTTGCTAGTTTAAATAATAGAGGAGGTATGGTTAAAGACGAGAGAAGTGTGAACATGTTACCTGCTACTGACATGCTGTCAACCATTTTGCTGTTTGTCCGCCATTTTAGAGTATAATCAAAGAAGATTTACTTGAAGAATTATATGTTGCTTTTTACTAACTGTTTCTCTTTACACAATTCATTTCTACAGAAGACTGTTTCTTGGACTGTAACAGGAAAGGATATTTTGCAAGTATCCTGTTAGCCATTGCCAGGAGGGGGAAGATGTGTGATCAGCTCTAGAAGAGCAAACTAAGGGTTGAGAAATGAACTGCAAGATGTAAATGTGTTAGCTTAGATTAGGTAGGAGTAGGGTTATTCTAAGGAAATATCTGTAGTAAGACACATGCCATCATCGAACAGGTTAAATTCTAGACGTATGTATTCAGTTGTAAGTT